CGTACGCTCCTGGACATAACCTTGGACGTATCGTCCACGGGTTTCCCCCTCGCCCTGGGCCTGGGCCTGGACGGACCCAGACTTGAATCCGTGGACTTGAACCGGTTCTGCCGGGGCAGGCGCTTCGCGTGCAGCTACTGCGGGAAGTGCTTCACGTCCTCGCGCAGCCTGGAGACGCACGTGCGCGTGCACACGGGAGAGCGTCCCTACAGCTGCGCTCAGTGTGGGAAGCGCTTCACACAGTCGGGTCATCTGAAGACGCACCAGAGCGTCCACACCGGCGAGCGTCCCTTCGCCTGTCAGCACTGTGGCAAACGCTTCGCTGGGAAACAGAACCTGAGGATCCATCAGCAGAAACACCACACAGGAGACAAGGGTTGACCCGGACCTGGACCTGGACCTGGACCCGGACCTGGACCTGTGGTTGGATGAAGTCCTGACTCAGGGTCTAAGCTGACTGCACTGTGAGCGCCACCTGCTGCTGCCTCCTGACAACACAGTCAGCTCAGAACCTAGTCAAGTAAAATCACTCATTTTCTCCATGGACTTTGGTGAAAGAAAGAAAACAATCTCACCTACGTCCAGGTGGACAGCCTCTCTCTGAAGCTGGGTGTAGCAGCAGGGGGCGCTCACAGCACAGTGAAGGGTAAAACTCTGCTGCGGAATAAACGGGTGTTCTTGAACCTTCTGATCTCCAGCTGGTCTCAGATCAGTTCTGACCTCACTCATGTAGACCATGTGATCCTTGGTTTGAATTAAAGGTTTAGATGAAACAGTTCCTGCGTTTGTCTTTGTCTCCCACCGTCAAAATAAGTTGTCTCTCATTGTAAACAAATTAAAGATCAGTCCCCTGGTCTGTCCCCAGGTCAGTCCACAGGTCAGTCCACTGGTCAGTCCAGAGGTCAGTCCAGAGGTCAGTCCACTGGTCAGTCCAGAGGTCAGTCTACAGGTCAGTCCAGAGGTCAGTCCAGAGGTCAGTCCACAGGTCAGAGTTAAAATACTAACACGTAGTATTTATCATTGGTGAATGTTGACAACTTGAATTAAAATGTACTCTTTTATTACAGTACTGTGTAGTACTAGGTCAAACAAAAGTTTAAATGAAAATATATATTTGTGTGTTTTGTGTCAGAGTCACAGAAGCCACGCTCTTATTTTGAAGGGGTTCCCGGAAATGTGCTTTCGGGCGGAAACACATAATAAACATCCGACTCCGTTGTTTGTGTGTAGAGATTATCGTTTGTGTGTGTGTTTGTGTGTGTGTTTGTGTGTGTGTCCGCTGAACAGACACACGGACACGGACACACACCACCGTGGAACTGCTTCCCGCCTCTCCGACGCTGCGGCTCCTTTTTCCCGATCCTCTTCCAACATGGCGACCGTCGCCAGCAAAGCTCTTCACGAGCAGCTGAGCCTCATCATGGCGGCTCTGACCAAGGCGGCGGTGGCGGAGATCTGTGAGGTGGTGGACGAGGGCTACGCTCTGCTGCAGCTGGAGATCAGCCGCCGGAACCAGGAGAACGAGGCGCTGAGGAAGAAGCTGCACCTCATCGAGTCCATCGTGATCCGAGGAGCCGGAACCAGCGGCGGTACCGGAGGAGGAGGAGCCAGGGGAAAGGTGGCCGAACCCGAGGTCGTGACGGTCGCAGTGGCGGAAATACCTCCACGGAGAAGCGGCGACGGTGGAGGAGGAGCGGTACTGAAGGAGGAGGTAGTCCACCATCACACCGCAGGCGGTTACGATCGATTCATCGACTAATCGATACGACTCCTCTCCTCCCAAATCAAATCAAATATATATATAAATGTGTGTATTTATGGTTAACTGTTTTTGAACAGACTATAATTATAAACAGAACCAGGTGGATGTAGCTGCTGAGGCTAATGTGGACCAGGTGAGGTCCAACAGGAGGCTCGTGGACCACCGTGTCTGCAGATGACACGTCCTCTGTGGTGAGAGTAGGTGGAGGCGGAGCAAAGGTCAACAAAAGGTCAAGACAGAACAGGTGTATGTCAGGAGGAGTGGGCGACGACGAAGATGGGAGGAACAGGTGGAGTCGGGGGGTGGATGGAGGGAAGGTCAAAGGTCAGGTTCATCAGACAGCAGTGAGAGCTGCTGGGAGGTCAGGGCAGAGACAGGAGGAGGAGGAGGAGGAGGAGGAGACGAACAGTTCCAGTGACAACAGTACCGTGTTTGTACCTGCAGCTTCCTGATGTGGTGCTGATCAAAGACGAAGACTCCGACAGTGACGACGCCTTCGACGAAGGTTCGGTTCTTCTCCTTCTTTAGTCAATATTTTCACGAACTACTGGTCACACCGCTGCCTCCTGTGGTCAGCCTGTGGTAGTGCAGGAGGCAGCGGTGTCATCGGTTCTGATCCTGATCTCACATGACTCTTTTCTCTTCACGTCAGAACACAGAACCTTCACGGACGGAGGCCCGGCGGTCCGGTCCGCCCGGAACAGCTGCGCGGGGAAGCGACCCAGAACGGGAAACGATGAAACCGAAAACTCCTCGCCGTCTTCGACGTCTTCTGAACACGTCTCCCTGAAGACGTCCAAGCTGACCTCGGCGTCCCAGAAGACCACCGCGGCCGTCTACGCCCTGGAGTCGCCCCACAGAGAACCCGGCTGCTCGGGTCAGGTGGGCGCAGAGGAAACCGAGTCGCTGTGTTCCTACTCCTCGCACATGGACCCCGGCGTCCAGGCGGTCCAGCAGCAGGACTACGCCCTGGTCTCCCCCAGCTCCAGCAGACAGACTTACTTCAGCAGCAGTTCGTTAATGGAGTCTCCGTCCAACAGGGTGGAGGTGGACTTCGGTCTGCCCTGGACCAAACTGTCCAAAGGTTCTACACCCCTCGCTCAGTTTCAGCCAAATGAAAACATGGACTCGGACGCCTTTGGACTGAAGTTGATCAGCGTCTCAGGCTCGGCGTCCACCGACGGCCCACTGTCGGAGCACAGCGACTCGGCCTTCGAGTACGAAGACATCGACATGTTGAGTTTCTACAGGGAGCAGTCGGCTCAGCCGGGTCAGCCGGGTCAGCCGGGCGGCGCTAGCACCAACCCGTCCCGTGTGAAGCGCTTCATCTGTCCTGTCTGCAGCAAGACGTACGCCACGGCCCAGAACCTGGACGTCCACATGAGGATCCACAGGGGCGAGAAGCCGTTCGGTTGCAGCCAGTGCAGCAAGAAGTTCACGCAGTCGGCGCATTTAAAGGCGCACCTGAGCATCCACAGTGGAGAAAGACCTCACGCCTGCAGGCTCTGCCCCCGCAGCTTCATCGCCAGGTACAGCCTGAAGCTCCACATGAAGAAGCACCACCCTGAGGCAGGAGGAGCCGCACCGTGACCGGCTCCTCCAGGCTACACCCCGGGAGAACCTCCCTGGTACCACCTGACCTCGACCACCACCCAGACTCTGTGGAGGAGACCAGGACTGAGGTCCAGACTGGACAGGAGGAGACCAGGACCTTCTGGAACCAGGACAACTCCCTGCGACCTCGACTGTAGACCACCTGAGAGACAGACCGACGACAGACAGACTGCGGCGGCATCAGTCAACGACCAAAGATTTTTATTTAAAAGGACTTCTGACTAACAGAGTCGCCCCCTGGTGTTGGTTCAGTATTTGGTCTCAACAGGTGTGAGAACACTGGTGTTGTGAACAACGCCACCTCATGGTCTGTGTCAGCTCTACATGCTAATGAAAACTGTGTTTTTAAAGACTTCCATTTTTACACAGTAATCTGATAAAAACTTGAAGTCGTTTCTGGTTCTTTGTTATTTTCTCCAAACATTTGTTTTACATGAAACACTGAAAAAAAACTTTGTCGTGAAATTAAAAGTTACTCATTTTCTGCCGAGGCTCCTTGGATGATGATGATGATGATGATGATGATGGTGAGTCTATAAAAGGCCGTGTGTTTGTCAATAAACCACCAAAGAGCGTGTTTTTTAAAAGTTAAATGAAGATTTATGGTGAGTCTATAAAAGGCCGTGTGTTTTTTTTAAACGAGTTAAAAGATTTTAGAATTAATTTCTAGTTTCCTTCATTCGTTCGTTTTAAATATGAATCCACAGGAAAAAGGAGAGAGTAAAAGTGCACACCTGCCGTAAAGTAGTCGTGATTGAGGTGACAATCAAACACACACGGTGTCACCGGATCACCGCGATATCTCAGCTGCTAATCAAATGTCACCAAACACCGGTCGATACCGTCACCGTCCTCTGTCGTCGTTAAATAACCGCCTTTTAACCGAACACAAACAGAACCGACGTGGACCTCAGAGCTACCGTTCCTCCAGGAGTCCAGCTTCGGTCCCTCACAGTTCAAACCAGACCGGAAGACAATTACGACCAACACTACGCATGCGCTCGCTCCTGACGTCACTTCCGATTAAGTCCCCTCTGTTTACGGCAGGGTGTACCGTGTTTACAACAGTCCAGAGGAAAAGCGTTTGTTTTCCTCCGCGTTCTCCCCGCTGCTGGACACGAGAGCACGCGAACTTCCACATGTCTCCCGCCACCTTCCACGCACAGCTGGCGGCCATCATGGAGGTTCTGGCGAACACCGCGGTGGCGGAAATCTGTGAGCTGGTGGACAGCGGCTACTCGCTGCTGCAGCTGGAAATCTCACGCAGCCGCAGGGAGAACGAGGTGCTGCGGAGGAAACTGCGGCTCATGGAGCTGCGAACGGCCCGTGGGACCTCTTTCAGAGCGGTCACCGCTTCTACGGGAGTCAGTGGCAACGCGAACGGCGGCGGCGGCAGAGGGCGCCCTCGAGCTCAGTCACCAGGACGCAGTCGAACCCTGACAGGTAACCATGAGCATTAAATACTGATAGTTGGTAATGAAGCTGCTGTTGTGGATCAGTGTCAGTAACGAAAATACGTCAAATACGGAAACGGCGGCTCATGGAGCTGCGAACGGCCCGTGGGACCTCTTTCAGAGCGGTCACCGCTTCTACGGGAGTCAGTGGCAACGCGAACGGCGGCGGCGGCAGAGGGCGCCCTCGAGCTCAGTCACCAGGACGCAGTCGAACCCTGACAGGTAACCATGAGCATTAAATACTGATAGTTGGTAATGAAGCTGCTGTTGTGGATCAGTGTCAGTAACAAAAATACGTCAAATACAAATAAGATGATAAGAACTCAAACATTTGTATCGAACAAATAAGATGATAAGAACTCAAACATTCTTATCGTATTGGTTTTTGCTTGCGCTTTGAAAATATCGTCTTACATGCTAAAGCTAGGGCAACCTGTTGTTTGTTTTTTTTTTTTCAAAATAACTGTATCTTACAGGAGAGGTGTCGCCTCAGACGCCCCCTGCTGGCCCTGGAGCAGGCAGCTCGGCAGTGCAGGTACATTCACAGTGAAGACGACTGTTGTTGTCCTTCTACAGCTGTTGACCGTCTCTGTCCCTCTGTTTCTCATGGCAGCTTGCTGCAGGGGAGTCCATCAACCTGGAGGTGGCGATCAAGATCGAGGATGAGGAAGAGTTGTGGTCTAAGTCGGAACAGAGAAGTACGATAACATTTATTTCTTTTCTTTTTTTTTTTTAAAGGAAATCAAATTTAATGCACTGATAAAGTTTTAGCATCTTCAAAGTGTAGCCGTTAGCACAACCCGCCGTAATTCTCTACAATCTCTGTTCTTTGTCCCAGCCAATGAAGCCCCGCCCCCATTCTCAAAACTCCAACAGGAAGTAGCCGCTGAAGACAACGGCCAAGACTCCTCACAGTCGTGGACGAGCGGCGAAGTTAGCTCCACCTCCACGTCTCTGCAGAAACTCCAGAGCGACGGCGACGGCGCCGCCTCGGACTGTCCGACGCACGAGACGTCAGTTCTGCACCAAGGCTCCTTTACCCACAATCCCCTGAGTGAGGAGCCGGGCTGCTCATATGAGCTCAACACTGCCATCTTGAGTTCATCTGCAGCTCCAGATGATGAAGGTGACGGCGGCGAGTTCGTCGTTGGTGGAGGCGAGGCGACGATGGAGGGGTGGAGTCAGGGGGGCGAAGTCGGCCGAGCACAGAGCGGCGATGACGCTGCCGCGTTTGGTGGTGGGAGTTCGCGGTCGTTTGTGTGCAGCTGCTGCGGGAAATCGCTGGCGTGCCTGAAAAACCTGAAGACGCACATGCGCGTGCACACGGGAGAGAAACCGTACGTGTGCGCACTGTGTGGCAAACGCTTCTCTGACTCCAGCAACCTCAAACGCCACCAGAGCGTGCACACGGGCGAGAAGCGCTACAGCTGCGCGCACTGCGGGAAGCGCTTTGCTCAGTCGGGCTCGCTCAAGGTGCACATGAGCGTTCACGCAGACTCCTCGCAGTTCCGCTGCCAGCGCTGCGGCAAGACCTTCATTTCAGGAATCCACCTGCGGAGGCACGCAGAAACGCACGAAAATGGATTCACAGGTGAGGGGGTCTGCTGAGAGCGCCCCCTGCTGCTGGATTCAACTGAGGCGAACCATTGACCAAAAGACAGAGCTGATCTATGTGGTCGTAGCTCTACTACGGTATAGTTCAGTTCATAGACAAAAAAACATGTTTTACCTGAGTCCTCCAGTGGGCGCTCACAGCACAGCCAAGACTCGATCCAGTGGGCGCTCACAGCACAGCCAAGACCGAGACTCAGATCAGATGGATGAAACAGAAACAGACGATCCTGAGCGTGAGCTCCACCTGGCGGCACTGCGGGGTAAATCACTCAGAGCATATTTAGGTTAACTTCAATATTCTGGTCACTTGTGTAAAAATATGTCATTTTGAAAATTTCTCAAATTTTTTAACTGTTCGTTTGTCTGAGGTGTGAAAATATTTCAATAAAACCTCAAGAAAATCCTGTGTTTTAAATATTTTAAATGAGAATTCAATTAAGACAAGTGGGAGGTAAACCTTTGACCACAGCGCCATCACGTGGCCATACGAGGGTCGTGAACCCCTCAGGTCAGAGATATGACAAGGTTGTCAAAAAAAAAACAACAAAGTGAAAGAAAAACTTCAAAGAAAACTAAACTAAACCGCCACGAAAAAGAGAAAATACAAACAGAAACATCTGAAGAAAATGTCGTTTTAACAAAACAAATATTTTTACAAAGACTTCAGGAACAAGAAGATCAAAGGAAACCAGGAGTTTATTTTCCTGTAATAATCGTTATCACATTAATAAGAACAACAATAAAAGTGCAGAGACGCTGGTTCTAATGAGGAATAACAGAAAAAAAAAAAAACATTAGAAATGTTTGGCCACAAGGGGCAGTGTTTTCTCACAGTAAGGTTAGTCAGATTTTCTGTTTATAAAATATTAGCATCATGTTCTATGTTAGGTTTCACACAATAATACGTCAACGTTACACGTTCTGTTAAAACATCTATAAAACATTAGTGACATTTTTGTCCAATCGTAAACGTGCCTTTAAAACAGAAACAGAAATATATCGTGATAAGTATTATCGTCATCACAACAGCCACGTGATCGTGTGATTTTCGTAACATTTATTTTAGCATAACGACACTTTTCATTGTAGCGCCTGTGGCTCAAATATAAAAAGTATTTCCTGTTTCGGCCTACTGGTTCAACGCCCGGCGCCTCAGGAAGTGACGTCGCTTTTCTGCTTTCACTCGTTTCTCGATGTAATATCCTGAAAAAAAAAATCAAGAGAAAAAAAGAACGTTAAAGAGGACAGGGGTGGACATATGCTGTGAGCGCCCCCTACTGCTCAGACAGATCAGACAGAGTCAAAACTTCAAGGCTGGGTGTTGAACCCTCACCTCTGTCTTGGCTCGTCTCCACAGGCCCATCGGTCCCGTCTTTGTCACCACTGCGGACACAGAAACCGCAGGTCGTTATCACAGAAAAACGTCCTCAAACTCGGAGAAAAGAGAAACGCGAGCGGTCACGTGACCCTTACACATGGACGAGGTCATCACCACAAACAGGACGCCTGTGACGCTGCTGCTCCACCACAAACACCTGCACCAACACACAGAATTCTGGGTAATCATCAGCTTCTTACTCAGACTTAAGCCCCGCCCCCTGGTCAATCACACGGCAGCAGTGGCCAATGGGGATTAAAGCTGTACCTGGAGATCAGAGCTGTGCTGATGAAGACGGTGAAGATGAGGAGCAGGAAGTTCTTGGCCGTCAGACCTGGAGGAAACAGCAACAGTCGAGTGATTGTTGTTAATTATACTAATTATTATTATTGTCATTAACGAGGGACAACGAGCAGCTCTCACCTCCGCCCTCAGGTGGCGATCTGCAGGAGCAGGCATCAGGAAAATAGACGGGAGGGGGCGGGACTTCAGAGAGTCCGCCCAGAGTCTGAGTAAAACTCTGATCTGAGGATCGGACCTCGGAGAACACGATCTCTTGACTGAGTAACGTCTGGGGCGGAGACACCTTGTCAGGATTGGGCGGAGTCTCGGTGTGGTCTGAAAGAAAGAAAAAAAAAAAAAAGTTCAATTGAAATAAATCTTGAATTAAAGTTTAATCAAACGACATCACGGTAACACTCACCGTATCTGAAGCTGATGTCCACCTCTGCACCGCTGCTGCAGCTCAGTGCTGACCAGGATTCATCCAGTGGAGACACTGCTGCCCCCTCCTGGCCGCACCAGGCTCCACACTCCCCATCGTGTTCTTGGTCCAGGTTCTGGTCCTTGTTCTGGTCCTTGTTCTGGTCCTTGTTCTGGTTTATGCTGGGGCCAAACATGCCTCTAAAGATTTTTTCATCCAACCACGTCTGACAGGTTTCTGTGACATCACTGAAGAGGCGGGCCAACGAGTTCCGAGGTTTTCGTCTGCGCCGAAAAATCCTAAAAGTATTTGCGAAAATTATAATTTCATCTAATCTTCTTGAGCTGAAATCACTGATTTTCTCCGTGGACGTTTTATTCTGAAACTCACTGAACTAATATTCATTTCTACTGCCACCTAGTGTCTCACCTGACCAGGTTCTCCTTGTACGACACGTTGGTCTTACATGGCGTCAGAGACACGTTCCCCTCGTGGTCGCGGCAGAAACTTTCCTCCGTGACGTCGTAGTAGCCGTTGGTGAGCAGACGAGGAGAACGGCGGCAACAGCAGGGGGCGCCGTTGTCATCCGAGGAGTAACAGAAGTAAGAGGAGTCAGGAGAGAGGAGGGAGACGTCAAGACTGTGGAGGGAGGAGAGTGTGAGGGAGAGAGCGCACGCACACACACACACACACACACACACACACACCCACATTCAGGTCGTACCTCTGACTGGGGTTTGATCGCAGCCGTCGTTTGATCGGAGAACCTGAGACGAAGAACAACGTTATTTTGTTTTTTGGTTGATGAACTGTTGTTTCTCTTATTTTAAACAGCAGTGAGGTCAAAGGTCAAACTTTATTTTATTTACTGGTAACAAACATTCTGTCACCAGGGTCTGGTTCATGAAGTGGGATCACCAAACTCTGTCACAGCTCTGAGTTTAGTTAAGTCTGAGTTCAGTTAAGCCTGAGTTCAGTTAAGCCTGAGTTCAGTTAAGTCTGAGTTCAGTTAAGTCTGAGTGTGGTTGAGCCTGAGTTTAGTTAAGTCTGTGTTTAGATAAGCCTGAGTTTAGTTAAGCCTGAGTTTAGTTAAGCCTGAGTTCAGTTAAGTCTGAGTTCAGTTAAGTCTGAGTGTGGTTGAGCCTGAGTTTAGTTAAGCCTGAGTTTTTAAATGAACTTGTTTTCATTTTAACTGCGTGTGTTTCTGTACGTACTGGTCACGGCTCCAGAGAAGAACAGCGACATGTTTGACTCCGCCCCCGACTCGTCGTCCAGACACCAACGTCAGTCACTCGGAAGAATTTAATCTGAAAAAAAGAACACATATTTTTGACGCGTCTCTGAGTTGTCGCCCCCTAGAGTCCAACCCAGTTCACAGACTGATCCAGAACAGTGTGGACTGAGTCCAGCTGCTCACTGGGTCACAGCCCACAGTGGACACATCACAGACGGAGCGTCTGCTGGAGGCCCCGCCCCCCCCACTGATCAGCCAATGACCACAGAGATTAACACTGAGGAAGCAGACAGTGGTTCTGATCCTGGTTCTGTTCTTGGTTCTGATCCTGGTTCTGATCTTGGTTCTGATCCTGGTTCTGTTCTTGGTGCTGATCCTGGTGCTGATCCTGGTTCTGATCCTGGTGCTGATCCTGGTTCTGATCCTGGTTCTGATCTTGGTTCTGTTCTTGGTTCTGATCCTGGTTCTGTTCTTGGTTCTGATGTTCTTCATTTATAAACAGAACTCCAACTCCATCACCTGAAACCACCTGTAAAATCCCATTGAAGCTCAGAGGGGGCGGGGCCACGGTTGGATGATTGACAGACTGGAGACACCAGTGATGAGGAGAGAGGATGAGGAGGT